ACCTTAAAATTGATTCCTGATTCCCATCATACAACAGTGAACAAAATGCCTTTATTGCCAAAATTGCTAGTAAGTAATTATTGCTATGAAGTATTTCAAATGTAGAAGCCTTATCTCAAGACAAAGTGCCCAGGAAACAGAAGTCAAATACAGAATTATTTCTAAATTTATAGAGAAGATATAAATAGCTGCCTCCCTAATACCATCTCCTTCAAAAAAAACCCAAAAAAACCCTAAAAAACCAAGATTTCTGTTATGAGAAACACATTAACACATTAAAAACTTAGGTTAAATTTATATTATTATTTTAAATCTATTACTATTTTAGAATACTCTATAATTTTTATTATTTTTCAGTATTGACAGATCTATGAAAGAGAAATCTCTTAGTTGTCAATAGAAGCCTATTTCTAAGTCATCTCTGCTGTATGGAGTACATATGGGTGAAAAGGCACCAATAAATTCAGGTACAAGTTTTAGAGGTAACTACCACTTTAGTGCAAGTATAGACTTAATTTATTTCTTTCAGCTGATAAATTAAATGGAATGTGTTTACAATATCAGCCTCTTGCAATAACAGAGTTTGTCTTGGTGATCATCTCCTAGTTTGGGGGTTTGTAAATATTATGTATACACACACACAAAGCAAATATTAAGCAAATCTAATCTAGTACTCTTAAAAATGAATACTGCATAAACAAAGCATAAATGCACATGGCAATTTTATGTTCTACATCCACCCACACGGTTGTTCTCAGCAATTCAATAACAGAGTTGCATGGGCAGATTGACAGAATTTGAGTTACAGACATCTGTGCTGAAATAATGATCAGCATATGATGGTTTTGTTCATTAAGAAACTGTTTATGGTCTTGTTTTTTATTTATTTTATCCTCAAAAATAAAATAAATACAATAATCACAGCAACAACAACAAAACAGAATAAACTCAAGGTACTGTGCTTCCTTCATTCCATCCCAGAAATCTACTCATCTTGAAAGATAATGTTAGTGCTATTCCAGGAATAAGCCATGATAAAGAAACTTGCACATATAAAAAAAATTATCTTAAAAATCTGGAAAAAATGGAATAAACTGCAGGATCCTATTTTCCTTAGCTGCTGCCAATACCACACAGATCCCTAACAGACCAGATGTCCAACTGCCAGTCCCCATGAATTTCTTGACTCAGCGTCTAAAAGTGAGACCTCAGGTTAAAGTCCAAAGCAGGAAATCTTTTCCTTCCAGGACATTTTGTTTATGTTAAGTGTACAAAGTTTTATGGTCTTCCAAAATGCCCAATCTTTCTTTGAACCCTTCTAGGGTGAGTGACCTCATTTTGCCTCAGTAACTTCCTATGGCAGCAAGTTTTACAGTCTGATTATCCAAGATGTCAGCAAGCCTGATAGGCAAAGCAGTCTTGGCAAAAGTCTCGAGACTAAAGCAACTGATGAACCACAAGTCTAAGACAAAACCAAGTTTCTTCCTTTAAAGGAAAGACTTTATGCTTTTTTTTTTTTGCCAAGGAATGTTCTCATGCTCCTGTGGTCCACAAACAACAGCAGAACAGCAGAACTTCCATTTGTAACTGCAATTTTATTCATGTCATCCTCCCGTGCCTCTCTCTTGCAAGGTAAACAATTCCCCATCTTCAATTTTGTGAGCTAAAATGAGAGATCACACCTAGGTTTTGTTCCAACAACTTGCAGCAGCAAAGTTTCACAGCTTACTTTTAAGCAGCAAGACTTAAATTGAGTAACTGAAAAAGGGGATAAATCTGTACCTTTTTCACAGCTTCCTTGGAGCTCCAGGGCACGAACCTTTTCTTTCTCTGGCTTTCAGTCAATATTGAATGACTTTTCAAGAGCGTGATTCAAGAGCAACAATGAAGCAAGAACTAGTTATACAATGGTGTTATCTCAAGGTGTGACCTGCCCCAAAACCGGTGCTCATGTGGTACTGCAGCATGCATTCCTACTGGAACAAAAGGCAGAAGAGCAAAATACAACACAACTTTAGGTTGGCACACCTGTTTCTTCTGGCAGTGCTGGAAGAACTGAAATGAAGGAACCTGCAGACAAATATACCCAGAATCATTATAATACAAGCTAGATCCCATGGATTTCAAAAAGTCAGGATTGTTACCACACAAATCTATCTATGATTAATATCATTCTACTAAAAGAATATGCATACCACACCTCCAAGATCTTCTGCTCCATTACAGACAGACTTGTAATCAAACCACTTTTAGTTTATTTTTCTCAGGAATAAATAGAATCCTGATCAGCAAATCCTTTTCAACCATAAATTATGCAGCACATCTTCCAATTCTTTAATACTGCTTAGCCTTGAAAGCTACAGGGATTTCACAATTCTTCCTGTAACATTTACAAAATATTTCCATAAATTTCCTACTTACTGAGCAAATAATATGTCCTCTCCAGTTAATGTTCCTGACACAGTCAGAACATCCACTCAGGGTATTACACATGGAGAACCCAGCTGGTTCTCTCAATAGGAGAACAGCACAGACAGAGTCTGTGGGCTTGAAATTGCCCCAGGAAGAAAACCTGCCTTCAGGGCAACAGGCACAGGTAAGAACTGGTGCAGCAAAGACCCAGGGCTCTGGTGCATAGCCTTGCTCTCACAAGTGGATGGATGTGCAGGGCTCCCAAGGGCTTCCCCTGTTACTAAGCAGTGATTACTCTGTATAGGATGTCTGTTCAAAAGGGGATAAATCCAAGACAACTCAAGGCTCCCTTTTGCCACCACCAAACTCAAATTCTAAAATCTAAGTAGAAGGCGTTACACGGGCGGGTAAAGAAATCATATCACACATTTCATATGGGTATTTTACTTTCTAAAATATCTCCTATGAATAGATCTTCCCCCAGTTTATAAGCAAAGCACATTTTAATAGTTTTCACTCAGTGCATGACCACAGATATTTTTATAGCAAACATATCTTCAAAATGGCATGTGGGACTCTCAGTGAACAATAATCTAACTGGTGGAGGCCACTAATGATTAAACATTACCAACAAATGATCCTTTTCAGCCAGGCCTCAGTATGCTTAATCTCAGCCAACCCACAGCACGAAATCCAGCCATGAATTCATGCTGTTAGGCCTGTCTCTGCAGGATGCTCGGGTTTACTAACAGCATGCCAGCTGGCACCTGCCTGGGATCCACAGCAGGCAGGGAGTGATGGAGGAATACCACAGGCCCATGAGCTCTGTGCAGGGCAAGGCTGTGCCATGTCCAGGTGAGGGGCTGCTGACTTCCCAGGAATGCTAAATTCACAAACAGAAGCAGCATCGTATCACAGGCCCCTGGTTTAGGATGCTGACTTTGTTTAGCAAAAGCCCTATTGCATGCAACTAATTAAACATTTCTGATGTTTTCAGAGGATGGCAGGAGAGAAGGGAATCCCTTGATAAGAGACACGTGAATCACTTGTTAGAGTGGAGACACAGTGATTTAGTTCCAGAAAACAAAACCACAGTTGTATCTGTTGCAAAATGTGAAATATGTAAAAATTTTCTTATTGAAAGGATGCTGTTTGATCTTTGTATATATTCCAGCCTAATCAAAAAGAAAGGAGAATTAATCTGTGAAACAGAGAGCAGTTGACAAGCAAGCTCTCAGTGGTGTCCACGGATTATATAGACAAATTTCTTGTTGGTAGAATTGCCTTGTTAAACCTTACTAAGATTTAGGGCTTGGCATGATTCAGTGGTCTCTGACCTAGTGGGAGGTTAACAAAGGTTTCGCATGTAGGAAGAAGGATGTACCAATGATAGTGGACACAAAGAATTTACAGGCCACAAAGACATTTGATGGAACTCCCAAGATAAGGAAGACAACTTGGCAAGTGTGCTGAACCAGCTCTGACTGGATAAAAGGTAATCCTGGGAGAGGGAGGTGGCAACTACCGACTCAGACCATCAACTCAAGAAACCCACAGAATCAAGAGAAGAGGAAGACAGCCCGTGGACTAATTAGTATGGGAAACGAGGAAATCATTGACAAATAGAAGATAGAATACAAAGTAACAAGAGAACTAGGTAACTTCTAGCCAATTACCATTTTGTTTGCTAAAATACATACAAAGTAAAAAGTTTCCGTAGTTGCTGTGCGTGATTTCTGGAACACCACTGAGGACTCAGGTTTGTGTGAATCTGAAATAAATATTCAGTGTCTTTCTCGAGTGTGCCTGTATCAGCAGTAATGTGACCAGCAGGACGAGGGAAGTGATAACTCCCCTGCACTGGGGAGGCCACACATCAAGTCCTGTGTCCAGCTCTGGGCACCCCAGTTCAGGAAGGCCATGGAGGTGCTGGAGCGTGTCCAGAGAAGGGCAATGGAGCTGGGGAAGGGTCTGGAGCACAAGTCCTGTGAGAGCAGCTGCGGGAGCTGGGGGTGTTTAGGGAGAAAAAAGGGGTGACCTTGTCACTCCACAACTCTGAGTGGGGCTGTAGCCAGGTGGGGGTCAGCCGCCTCTGCCAGACAACCAGCAGCAGGATGAGAGGAAACGACCTCAAACCTCCCCTGGGGAGGTTTAGGTATGAATTTTTTCACAGAAAGAGCGATTGGGCACTGAAATGCTCTGCCCGGGGGATGCTGGAGCCACCGTCCCTGGAGGTGTGTAGGGAGAGCCTGCACGCGCCCTCAGCGCCCCGCTCTCGTTACACGGTGGTGATCGCTCATAGCTGAGACACGGTGCTCTCGGAGTCTTTCCCAGCCTAAGTGATTCCGTGACTACCGGAATCACTCGCTGCACAGCGGCTCCCCGCTGCCCGCGGCCCGGCAGAGCGGCGCTCCCGGCCCAGCGCCGCCCTCACCCCGCGGGCCGGGCCGGGCCGGGCGGGGCCGGGCTGTGTGTGGGACACAGCCGGGTGTGGGCGGAGCCTCGCCTCCCGCCCGCGCCGATTGGCTGACGCGAACCACGCCCCCCGTCCCGCCCGCCCCGGGCTCGCATCCCGCCCCCGGCGTTCCTGCTGCCGCCGCCCCGCCGCGGCGGGGGCTCGGCCTCACTGCCTGACTGGAAATTGCCGCCGGCCGTGTTCAGCAGAGGCGAGCTCGCACCGCTTTGGTGCAAGCTACTGTATTTTTTCATTTTTTTATTTTTCTTGAGTCTCATTCTTTCCGCGCCTTCCCGCGCAGGCGTCCCTGCGAGCTGGTGGGGCCCTTGAACGTTAGGGCGTCGCAAAGAAGCGGGCGGGGGGCGGGGCGGGTCCTTTGGGCCGAGCGGTCGCAGCCGGTGCCCGCCCCGGCCCGCCATGTACTACAGGTTCAGCGGCTTCACGCAGCGCCTGGTCGGGGCCACGGCGGCCGCCGCCTACTCCCCACAGGTAACAGCGGCAGTAGTGCCGGGCGGGGCTGCGGCGCCGCGGGCCTCGGCTCAGCCGGGAGGGATCGGCCGCCCCGCGGGCGCCGAGCGCGGCCGGCCCCTCGCGTGACCTTGGGCCGGGAGGGAGCGCGCCCTGCCCTGCAGCCCTCGGGGCAGCTTCGGGGTGGGCTGGGGGTTATAGCGAGCAGTTTACGCGCTTTCATCACAGAGGATTGTTCCGGAGTGAGCGGTGCCTGGCGGGGTTTTAAAGTCACCGACTCACGGCATCAGTTAGGCTGAAAAGACCTCCGAGATCATCGAGTGCAGCCTGTGACCGAACACCTCCGTGTCAAACGCACCATGGCACCGAGTGCCACGTCCAGGCTTTCCTTAACACCTCCGGGGACAGCGACTCCCATCACCTTGTTTTTTTTTTTTTTTTTTTCATTTTGCAGGTTAAGGTTTAGAGTTATGGTTTGGGGTTAGGTAGAGCCTCTGCATGGTTGTGGGGCTGGTGGCAGCAGCTTTGTGGTGTTGCTTCGGAGGTACTGCAAGGCAGGAGGGCAGCAGCCTCCCCTGTGAGCTGCTGATGGAGGAAGGCAACACTGTCCCCTACTCAGTACTTACATCGAGGTGTTGTGTCCAGCTGTGGGCTTCCTGCTCTGGGAATGGCAACTGGAGCAAGTTCAGTAGAGATCAGCAGCCAGCTGAGCTTAGCAGGATGGAGCCAGGCTTTGCACAGTGGTCCATGGTGGGAAGGCAAAAGACACCAGGCATAAACTTGCAAGAAGAGAGGTTTGGGCTGGACAGAAGGAAAGACAAGTTCATGGTGGGAACAATCAGAGAGTGGAGCTGCTGCCCAGAGAGGGAGGCTGTGCACTGTACTCAGACGCTTGCCAGGCCAGACAAAACCCACAGCAACTTGGAGTCACCTTGGTCTGGACTAAAGAGGATTAGAGGGTCATTCCATCCTGAATTACCTTAGGATCTTAAATAAACACTGAGGTAACAGAGAGTTTCTGATATGGCAGTTTCTGTCCTAAGAAAGGTTTTTTGTCCTTGTCTTTCCCCATCACTTTGGAAGGCTTCCTGGATAGCTGCCGGGGTTAGGGGTGCAAGAAATGGAAGAGAGCAGAATAAATAATATTCTAGTATGTACAGCACTTATACAGTAGCAATATCTCCAACACTAGTGTAGTGATTGGGGCACTTCTTACTTCTCTAAACAGTTATTTTCAGAGAATAAACATTGTTACTTCATTTACATAGTGGAGAGCAAAGGCTTAGGCGAGGAATGGGGAAGGGCTTCAAGCCTAAACAGTAAAGAACCTCCTACATTTTTAAAAGTTACTTTCAGTCCCTTTTTATAATGTTATTAGGCCAGCTTTTTTGTAGAATTTCCTTTTTTTTCCCTAAGCTTGACTGAATTCCCAGGTCACACATTTGAATACATCAGTCTGCTAAAAATGTTTTCAATAAACAGCAGTTGAAATATAAGGGTAATCCAATGAGTGTTAAGGTGTTAAGTTCAAAATAAAGTAAAATTTTTCCTATTGATTTCATTGCTCCATTTATTAGACCTATAGTTCAGCATGTAAAGTGGTTTGCTTTTTATGCTTCTGTTTATTTTGATGTTTCTTGAAAAAGAGGATGAAGACATCCTGCCATTCAAATTCTCCTTGGTAAAATATGAAGTATACTAATTCTCTCTGTTCTGTGTTCTTACATTCTGGTGCTTCCCTATAGAATACTGTTTTGCTGCAGATTTAAGTTTACCATGGGCTTGCAAAATATCGGTCTAAATGGATTTCAGAAATTATTTTGCTGACAGTAACATAACAGCTTATACTAACAAAAACAGTCTCTTGAGTTTGAAATCCATATTGTTCTTTCCATCTCAAACTTACCATGCATAGAAGACTTAATTTTGCATTTAACAAAGTTGTATATAGTAGTCTGAACAATTTATCTTGTTTGAATAAATGGGAACTTCTGTAGCTAGTTGAAGAGTAAAATAGTTTCAAAATTACTCCTCATATTTAGGAGGACACTGGGACCAGTTTCAAATGGTGTCAGATGAGGACAAGTACATGAACTTTTCCCTATTTCTTCTACTGAACATGATCCTAGCAGGAATTTATTTGTACTGCAGTATCTTCACTCATACAACTTATTTTGCTTGTAGCTATTTAAAGCCCCCATGAGCTGCAGATATTTTGATTTTAGCCAAGAAGAATTGCTTAGAGTTTGTTGAGAATCTAGAAAAATAAAATAATCTATAATATATACACAACCTTTTATGCCCTAGATAATACATACACAAAATCACTGTCGCTGGATCATCATCCCAGTACAAAGATTCAAGTGGTTTTAGCTAAGAACCTCACAATTTATGGACGGAATTCAAATGAAATTTTACATTGGGGAAGAACCCTAATTAATGCAGTGTCTGGGTTAAGGAAACTGAACTGTCTCCCTTCTGCAGAATGTGTTTTGTTGTACTCTTTACTGAAGCCAGTGACCAACATTAATGTTTTTTATTTAAATTGCTAAATGATGTTCTTAAGTGGCACCATGCTGATTTGGAAGTAATTTACAGTACATTGATGATTATGTGAGTTTTCTGAACTGGTTCCATTTGATTTTATAGTGAAGTTTGTCACTTTCTAAGGCTGAAAAAATATGCAATAACCTACAGTTATTGATTTACTAACTATTGAAGTTACTAGATAGCACTGCTCCTGAAAATGTTGGGCTCTCCAGAAAGCAGAAGGGACATTCAGAACTGGAAACTTTAAGGCACAGAAAAGATCTGCATTTTCACATTTCCTGCAATACTAACAATCAAGAAGGCAAGAAAAAGTTTGGAGAAGAAGTCACCTGCACATTTAGTATCTGTTCTATAGTTATTTCTGTCAAATCACCAACTTTTAAAAGACAAATCTAATAAGGTACTTAAAGGTCATATAGACAAAAATAGTTGTCCAAAATTGCTTGCTTCAAGGCCTCTGATGTAGCTGGTACGTAACCTTGAATACATAGTTAGTAACTTCCCCCAGCTAATAATAGTTCCTTAGATGCTTCCTGTGATGCTTCCTTAGATGCTTAGATGCACTGTAGCCAGAACTGGTCGCTGGTCTTAAATAATTCAGTGCTTGCCTTCTGTGCTAGCCTGCTCAGGAGGAAGGCATTAGTTACTGAATGTGCCAAGAAATTCAGTTTTGCTGCTGCCTTTCAAAACATAACCAGAAAGGTCCCAGGTGGATTCTAATATTCAGTCAGGCACTAGAAGAGTGGGAAGCTGAACCCACATCTTCAGGGTATAGCACTGATGACCATTCCACAGGCTATTTTGGGAGGCTGAGAAACCTGGTTTTTCTGCTGAAGATGCTTGTTGTAGCAGAGAATTTGCATAAGGAAAACATGTCTGGTCTATGGCTGGCGCAAAAGAAAGAGTGCCAGTCTGTTTCTGGCTCCAAATACTGTCAGACAGTTCTCTTCAATATAAAATGCATCTAAAACTAGTCCTTTAAACAGAAACCAGAATTTCAGCACAGTCTTAACTTGACCCATGGCTGCTTCTGTTTGTAATAAAAACCTGTTGCATTAAACTAACTGCACAATGCTTTTAATTTATGTGGCAAGTTAGGAAAAATCTCTCAATTTAGGGAAAAACTCAAGTTGTTTTGAGAGCTACAATGTAAAACATCACTGTTGTGTGTCTAGACAGCTTAAATTTAACTATAGTAATAAAGACAAGGAGGCCACCTCATATTGGCTGTGACTTTGTGCCCTTAATCACAGAACTGAATTATGGAGTTTCGAGGTAAGGCAAATGTAGAGTACAACCTTGTGAACCGAAAGGAAGTAGAGCTGTGCTGCTCATGGGGAGTACATTGGGGTGTGGGAAGCTGCAGCAGCATTTCAACTATAAGATGTAACTACATTACTCCTGCACAAAATATCTACTATATCAGTGTCTCTGAAGGGCCTTGAGCACCACATACAACTTCTGTATGACCTAAATTATCCTCATACTTTTTTTTTTTTAATCCCCAAACTATACATCCAAATAAAGGCCCAGTTATTTATGGCTACTGCTTGCAGCATTCAGGAGGTAGAGCTCATTCCTCACTCTGACCCTAGCATCAGAGATCCTTGATCCTAATCCTACTGCTCAGAGAGAGTCCTAGATAGGCTGTGTGCAAAACAAAACCGGTAATTTGGACTAAGTACCCGCACAGAAAAATAACAGCTATAAATTCATGCCATGAGGAGATTGGAAAGGAGGCTGCTATTTTCCTTGCTAAGCTCTGACCCCAGGTTGTCACTGAGATATCAGTGGGCCAACAATGTGTTTATCACAAGTCTTCATATCAGATAAATACTCTTTGTGATGTATCCTTGTAAGGACTGGCAGTGTGCCTGCCTAATGTAACAATTGGTACATTTGCAAGTGTGATATACCTTGATATTTTAATCTTTATTTATGCAGGGACTCAAACCATTAGTTCCCACCATTGAATCCCCAGATCTGATTTTTGGGACAAGTAAACCTGCTCCAGGTTTACCAGCAGCTGATCCTTTCTTGAGTACAAACAAGGTGCCAAACCTACAGAAAGTTTTTCAGGTAATGACAACTTTGAGAGTAATTTAAAGAAAACTGGAGAGTGGGACATATCTGTCCTTATTTTAACATAGCTAACTACTTTTGCCATTCTACAATACCTAAATTCTGTAAAGTCTAGTCAAGAAACTGTCACCTACGGTATAACCTGTGTACTTGTACTATATACTATAAAGTATATACTACTTGTACTATATACAAGTATATACTACTTGGACTATATACTATAAAGTATATAATATGCCTTGTATAGTAGATAAATACAGAAAGTGGATAAATGCAGTGACACTGTATTTTTGCTAAAGTTGGTTGTTGTATTGTTTGACTATTGGAAGCACTTTCTCTCACTTTAAGCCACGTGTGTGCCTTAAAGCAGATGTAGAAGAGCAAAGCAAATCTGGTTTGTGTATAATAATTTGAATGTTGCTGAAGCTGTTTATAGTGCAGTCAGTATAAGAGCAGCACAGTAAAGTTTTCAAAGCCAGTTTGTTAGCTATGGAATTTCTAAATGTAGGACTTTTCTTAAAACAAATTAGTTAAGGTTTTCTTTAAGCGTCAAGAATGTGCTTTATATAATATTCCCTTTTCTCTCTTACATGCCACTTCCATTTGGAATGTGTCAGTCTGACTTGGTGAATAATTTTTTATACGTATCTTTTCACATTCTGTTGTTCATGATACTTCTCCCATCCAGGTCCTCTTGAGAAACATTTCAAGATACATTCTTTCTGCTTGCACTTAACAGCTTTGGCTAACAAAAGTATCTTGCCTTTGCATTTGTCTTGCTAGACAAAATACACTTGGTTGTAGCAAGCCTATTTGTCAGGAGGTTTCCTTTCGGAAGTCTCTTAATTTACCCAAGGTAGCTTATTCCTTAATGACCTCAGAATGGGTGTTAATTTCTTTTTTGCTTGTTTTCTCCTTGAACTCTTCCCACAGAGATCAGATGGACTGCCAGTACACCTGAAGCTAGGATATCCAGACAGGATGCTCTATCGGACCACGATGGCTCTGACAATAGGAGGATCTATCTACTGTCTGGTAGCATTGTTCTTTGCCTCACGGCCAAAGAAAGAAAAATAAATGAAACCACACCTCATGGGACTCTCAGCACTCCTCTGAAGGATCTCCTGCATGTGCCACGTTGCACTTAAATCTGTTCCCTGTGATCACATAGGGTTCATTATTCAGATCGGATTTGTTGGAGAAAATGTTTTTAAATCGGTTGCCTTATGTATTCTAAAACACCAATATAAACAGAGAAATACAGTATTTTAACATATGGTTGTAGCTTTTCTTGTCTTGCAAGAGTTCATAAACAGTTGGAGAAAGTTAAGCTTTTCCTTCCATCTCTCCCCCAACTTAAACAATGTTAGAGACAGGACAGGACAAATAATTTGTGAGCTATGCACCACATTCCTTAGTGGAAGGATGCTACTAGTTTCCAAAATACTAAAAGCAAAAAATTTAATTATAGCATACTGGGAACCTGTTTCTGTCCTATACTTTTCCAAATCCTGGTATATTAGTAAATACTATACCACCTCTGGTGGTAGGACAAAGGGCTTGTCTCCTTGGAGCATTTAAAGTGGATTTACTCCATAACTGTAGCATCAATGTATGCAGCAGAGTGCACCATTATTGTAGCATCAGTTACACCAGTTTTTGGACTTTGCTTTGTTAAACTGTATTATCATGCAATAAAGATAGCTACATGAATACTAAAAGAGGCAAGTCTCAAAAATTTCAGAGCATTTCAGCACACCTGGTGGTAAAATAAACATATTGGTACATTTATGGGTTCAACTTGAAGATCTCAAATAATACAATTGATTCAGCTACCTTGCTGTCATCTTTTTGAGATGGAAAATCTCTTAAAACCTCTCCCAGACTGCACTGTGTGTTTAACTATAATTTTTGGTGAAACAGGTTGCTGTCAAAATTCAGCTACTTACTATTTCCAGTGCCTGCAGATAGCTGTTTATGTACACTCATTTCTGTGGATGGGAGAGAGATAAGCCAATACAACCCTTTATATTACCCTTGTAATAGCGTAGCCTTGAACTGCCAAGTTTCATACAAGTCTTCACAAAATGCATCCTCTAATATCATAGTTCCTCCTCTGCCCCTGAACATTGATTTTCTGGCCTCTGTAAAGACCCATCTGACTCAGAACTGTGCAGAAACCACCTTCAAAAATTGATAAGAAAAATAGTTGATAAAGGAAAATAAAACTGCCTTTTTTCAATCTTTACTAAAAAAAAATATCTGATTTTTTTCCATTTAAGTTACATCAAAGCCTTATTACTGCTTTATAGGAAAGAAAAGAGCTGCTTGTACTGTGATCTCAGGTTTCAGTCAATGTTGGTATTTCGGGATGGGAGAGATTAAGTCAATGAAAAATAGTTTTGTAAGGACAGCAAGAGTCAAAGAATAGCATAGAATAAATTGTGTAGGAGCTGACAGTTGTGTTGCTGTACTGATGAAATATATTCTCAGTAGCCCATGCTTCCATGGTACTCAGTTTTGGGCTGTAGGCTGTTAAATACTCCAAGAAATAAGAAAAAAAGAGAAAGAGCACGGTAGGTTGTTGTCTGTCTTCCCTATATACCATCTATCAAGGACTGCCTACAAGAATTTTCTAATAAAGGATATTGTGCACGTAAACTTGACAGATAGATTTCCATGAAGCTGAACTCTGTTCTGAGTATTTCCATGCTCATAATTTTCTGATTTGGTTTTGGTTTTATTGGAGGGGTGGGATAGGGATTTTCTTCTTTTGTTTGTTTTTGTGATAGTACTGTTTGGTTTTTTTTTTTTTTTTTGTTTAAACCGACTATTTTTAGTGCTCATCTAGCGGGCAACAAGTTTCTGCTTGTTTCTAAAGCAGATTTGGTAAAATAACCAAGCTGTTATCCCACAGCTTATTAGCCAGTGGGAATACTTTCGTGGAAGGAATGACAGCCTTAGCACTCAGGCCCAGCTTGCTTAAAGTAACTCAGCTAGAACACTGGGTTCATGTCTTTTTGCAGTTAGAGGTCATGGCTAAAGCCATTCTGATAGCCATTCTGCTGTCAGAATTGCCCTGGGCCTCCATTTTCCCAGCTGTTTTTCAGAACACATGCCAAAGGCACAAAAACCACCCATCAGATTTTGCAAATAAACAAAGATGACATAATCCATTGCACCTTTCTCCCCCTTCTCGCCCCCAGTGTGTGGAGTTTGAAGAACTTCATTCACTTTGCCCTTCTTGCAAAAACTGACCCAGTTGAAGCAGGATGAGAGTTCTGCTTCAGCTTGTGAGATCACACCCATGGTTCAGTTGGGGGTTAAAGAACAGGGGTTTGTCTGCAGCCATTGAGTAGTACAGGTCTGAGAGAAAGGGCAGACTGCATTTCTGCCTCATTAAAGTACTCTGAAAACCCAGAAGTTTTCCAAGCTGTAACCGGCGTTAGTCTGCAGCAGCAAAATCTTGGCCCTTTCCTCAATTAGTTTTGAGATCATCATGAAGAAATTGCAACATGGTAAATCCTTTTTCTCCCTAGATAAAACAACTCTTAAATATATCCATTTTTAAATACTGATGCCAGACTCCTGTGAGGATTCAAGAGGGTCTAAGTGTTTTCAATTATTTGTGACACAGAGACTTAATCAGCATCTTAAGCCTTCAGGAACACCGTTACCTCTAAAAGGAGTAGTCTGACTCTGGCCTGATTGTTAAAGAATTAAATAAGGAGAACTAGGGGTGACTTGCAGCATCAAGGCTACTTCAGTATTCTGAATTGTCATCCCCAGAAGCAAGAATCTGATGGGAACTGCAACTTCATTATAGTGTTCTTGTTTTATAAAGACCCTCTCAGTTTTCTCTTAGAAAATATGCAACTTACTGACACAGAGGACTGTGGGGTGGGAAAAAAGCCTTTTTTAAAATGATAGCTTATACTCTAGTGTTTTGGTTTGAATGTATATTAGAGAATAAATTACAATAAGCTCTTATACCCCAAGGTGCCGAGTTTGGAAGGGAATGCAGCTGAGATTTAGAATACACTGGAACAAAATTATCTCATGGATAATCATCCATCCCCCATGGCATTATCTCATTGCTGAGAGACAGTGGTTTTCCTTAAATGATTTCTGTGGCAACCTGGATTCAATAGTTATATCTTTGTAATGGTTTTTAAATACGATCTCCTCCCCTACCTTTTGCGTGGGAGTAGTAGAATAAATGCGTTTGAGAAGACATTGATAGTATGCACATATTTCTTACAGCTGCTTTGAAAATTAAAGTATGTTAAGGAGGGGATTCTTCCACAGTATTGTAGTGTGACCATACAGTCTCAACAGCATTTTGCCTTAACATTTAAAATTGTCAACAGACTGATTATTTCCATACTGAGACATTTAACTGTTTGATCTTGCCTTAAGCCAGGCTTTCAAATTAAAAGGCACTGTAAGGAATAAAAACAAGAGAAACTTGAAAATTTGGAATCTAATCTTACAGACCTAAAAAAAGTCAAAATGAGTGTTTAAGAACAGTTTCTTTGCATACATATACACTGTACTTATTCTGTCTTTATCCTCCTTTCTGCCTTCCAAGAGGCTTTAAGAAGCTCTGATTGGATGGGGGATTTTTGGCAACTTCTCTCACAAACCATACCCCTGCAGATCCTAAAATTTGAACAATTCAGATGCTTTTTTACAAAGAGAAAAAGGGGCATGCATTGGCTAAGTTGTGTGTAAAATCATGCTAAACGGTTCAGAGAAAGGTGCAAGATATCTGCATTTTATGACATATTTTTCCCTCTTCCTGCTCTTCACCTCATCACCTCAGTGAAGAATTTCACCTGGAAGCCAAAGCTTGATCTCTGTTTTAAAATGGACAGTGGGAAGAATTTGTCTGTATTCTAAGCATTAATGTCAAGCAGTAGGCACAACAAACAACCTTTTAAGCATTTTGCATATTCAGTACTAATTGCATCTTCATTTATAAAAGATCATCAATTTGAAACAATTCCAGTTAGCTGTAGTGCAAACGATGCACAGATTGCTAAAAGATAGAAGCATATTTGCTGTGAGAGGGAGTGAAGGCATTCCTGTGGATCAGGAAATAAGGTATGTGCTGTCAAGCATCAGTGTGGTATCTCACTAACACCAGGTCTTATCTTCTGGTGCTTCTCATGTGATCCCAGACTGCTTTTGGATATGGCACTAGACAGAAGGAACCACTTTTTTTTTGTATATTAATTATCTCAAAATGCAAGAAAGTACATACACCCCCCAGTCTATTGCAGGCAGCCCAGACCTACAAGCCCAGGGGCTACAAGAAGGCAGTGGTCATCCTCTGACTCCAAAGAGACATGATAATCCCTGATAAAATGTTTTTCCTGCATAACTTTTCCCAGTGGATCCAGTACTGCAAAACTGGGGAGATGGGAGAGAGGGGGAAGTATTTTTCCTCATTTTATCAGCTGCATACCACTCTCGCTTTTCCCCCTTCCTTACTCCCACATTTTTATTCTGAAGACCATGACATTTTTTCTAGCACTTCCTTTTTTACATCATTTCTTAAATATTCTGTCCCACAAAAGAAGTGGTTTCTAAGGGCTTCAGAAGAAATGCTGAAATATTCATATCATATTCATATAATTTGTCACATGTATTTTTTCTCTGCAAGCTGGAGCAAGTCCTGGAAGTCTTTGTCAAGTGCACAATCCTGCCAACCCACTGAAAGTCTTACTCTAGTGAGAAGTCTTTGAAGAAGCTGTTCTACAGGTGTGCAAACATAGGGGCATCAAATTACTGCTTACAAGCACCAGACTGTATTTCAAAGAAAGAGAGGAAATACTTCCCTGCAATGTTCTTACACTTCAAGCCATGTTACCTCAAATGCATTTTTCTATCCTTTTTCATATCTTCCTTACAATTCAGTCACACATATTCATTTTACTATAAGTGCTTTATCTATTTATGGTGTGGTGCTATCTCAAATATCTTGGACACTTTTCACCGAGCCCTAATTTTGTACACCCAAAATTGGAAATTTAGGCATCAATTATCGTGTGTGTCTATTACAAAGCTCTTGCTTGAGGCATGGAGAGAGCTGACACATCCATGGCAGAGTTCATTATGCCCTGCCTGGGTTAGCCAGATGTTCTTTCAACCACAGGGAGCCATTCTTATCCTTTTGAAAGGTTCTTGTTGCAGGTGAGGAAGATCACCTCTGTAATCTTTAGTTGCTTACCTACTCACAAGGCTGTACATCGTCTAATCCACAATACTGCA